GTGACTGCCTTCTCCAATTGAATCGATATTGCTCCCTTCTTTACCTCAAATAGTTTCCGTATTGTATCGCGAACTGACTGCCGACTCCACGGCACCTCCTTTGCCAATGATGCATCGTGCAGGTCGAGGATTCTTCGCAGGTAAGGGTTCGATGGCGCTGTGAAGGGAAGGTTGGCAGTGACGATCCAGCCGACTGTCAGCTCCTTGGCTTTATTAACATTGCACCGTGCAGTAGGTAGCTCTACGCAGCGTCGTTTCGAGGGAGGGTATATATCAGCGCAAGCGGAATCGTCCTCCGCATTGCCCAGCGATTGGTCCGTTTGAGTGATCAGATGGGACCTAGATACGGTGAGACGCAGAAATTAGTGTTCAACCCCCGCGGAAGTCACATACCTTCGCAGGTGCTCAATTGGAGATGTGGTGTTCGACGCGACGAACAACGAGCTCTTCCCGTGTTCATCACATTTGGAGCAGACCCAGTAGGTCTGCAACGTCCGCAAATCAGGGCTGACTTCAGTGAGGAGGAGCCCGTAGGCTTGAATCCAACTCCGCCGACCTTTGCGATTCTTGTTTGCTATATACTCTTCTGGTATATACCTCTTGCAGCCGATATGGACCGTTGGAAGGTCAGCGAGGGCTGTTCTCCCTATTTCAACATTGATAGACGCAGAGTCAAGTTGCTGTTTCAGCGATTTGCGCTGAATTGCAATCCCTAGGAGCGTTTCTAGGGACTGCTGTTGTGCTGCCATGGCGCGACATTGGCGGATCGCGGAATCGCGATTCGCTGCTGCTGCTTCCCAACTGAAGCTTGACGCGTGCAACGACAGTAAACAAACAGGGGAACTCGTGCCACGCCCCAGTCGCCATGGGTGCAATCCGACTGGTCGCAACATCGCCTCATTACCCTACCCTATATCTAGGACGCCCGCTGATCAACATCCTAACGCAGAACTCCAAGGGCTGTCACGTGGGAAATCCCATACAATGCGACATTTCAAGTATATCAAGTTTAAGGCATCATGAACTTACTTACTTGAAATAAATTGGCTGGTCTACTTACTTGACTTACTTGAAATACTTGATTTCATACTTGAATTGAAGTCAGCGCTGAGTCTCATAACGTAACAGGAGTGGCTCCCACTTATATGACAATCCTAGTAACTATCTGTTACTCCTATCGTTGTATACATACCCCCCTTGACAGAGNCAACTCTCCTCCTACATCTACAGGGGTACCTACCTTGTAGACAGACAGCGACGTAGAGAATAAACACTTCCGCATTAAGTAAAACTTGCAAGAACATCCCGAGCGCTGCTGCGCTGTCGTGGCCATGGTTATCTCCCAACCAGCCACGCCAGAGCGTGGCGCTAGGGCTCAGCCTCACCAGCAGTACCCGGATAGCTTCAACTTCAGAGCTTGTCAACAGCTCCTGAAAACAGGCCCTCCGGTAACTCTGCAGCCATTTCAACCCAGCAGCAGCCCAACCCGCAATCTTACAGCAGACAACAGGGACAGAGGACATCGCCGCAATAGACGCCTGGACACGGGCACCCAAGATAGCACAACCAACAGGTTTGCAGCCCTCGCAGAAGAGGATGACGCCACAGAAACGCCTACCCCTGTTTTTGACCTGGAAGCTGAGACCGAAGAATTCATCAAGACGCAGAAGGAGAGACTTGACATACGCGCTAAGGTCCTCAGAACCTACGCAGAAGCAATCACAGCCTGCACGCGAAAATTCACCACGGGTTACGGACTACACATTGCCAATGAGTTTCAAAGCACCCTCTTGCGACATTGGAACCAATTTGTACGCGCAGAAGAACCGCTCATACCGGGAAATACGAACACACACGCTCCAAGCTCACTCACAGGGACAACCAAACCTACGCCGCCAGCGCCGGCCGCCAGAGAAAACACCAGAGCCGACAAGTCGGTCAGCTTCGCCAACATCGCGAAAAATGCCTCACGCCAGGCACCCGGGGATGTGCACGTGCACGTGCACCCACACCGCCGCCAGAACACAACTATTGCGGACCGCACCGATCGCAGGGTCCTTCTCCGCTTGAAGAGTGGCTCCTCTTTCTTCGAGAAGGGCCTACAGATTCGCCTCGCACTAAAGGACAAGCTTGCTATAGCATCCCAGGACATCCAAGACATCAAGCCAACAAATACAGGATGGGCAATTGTGGCCCGGAACGAGAAAATTCAGCAGCTTATCCTTGAGAAGCAGAACGAATGGGGCCCGTGCATCGACCTAGATATTGCAGAGAAACAAGTCCCATGGCACACCTACTTGATCAAGAACTTCCCTAAGACTCTCCACTCTTGGGACGGCACCCTTCTGGATTTCGAGGCAACGATTGAAGAAGAGATCGAAGCCCAAACAGGGCAAAAGCCAGAACGATGGCATGTCTCACAAAAGCCTAATAATGAGGATCCGACCAAAGCAACACTGGTCATCTCATTCCTTAAGCCGCTGAACAGCAATTTTCGGCTACTCGGACAGGGAAGCTACTCCTTTAAACTTACCAAACCGAAGAAATTGTCTCAGTGCACCCACTGCTGGAACTTCCACCCGCCAACTCGCTGCATAGCTACAAAAGTCTGTGTGCGCTGTGGCGTCAAAGATGACGTGCACAGCGCAGACAGCTGCGACAATACGATAAAATGCGCAAACTGCTATGGCGCACATGAAGCCAATTACGAGAACTGCTACGCTCGCCCACAGAAACTTCGCGACAACTTCCAGAAACTCTCAAAGACTCAGCTTATCTACGCCCGACGACTAGGCCAGGAAGACTTCAAACGAAAGAACAGTACACAGCAAACTAACCTTAACAGCGACCAACTCCCACCAGCTGTGGAACAGGGTGAGGAATGCGCCTGCCCTCTACAGGATGCCGAGATGAGCGGCACAGAGCCAATCCAGACAAACCAGGTAAATATTGCAGATCACGAAGGTAAAGGAGCGGATATCCCGGGAGAGAGGGAAAAAGAAAAGGACGACGAAGAAACAGAGGAAGAAGCATCAGAGGAGGAGGAAGCAGAGGAAGACGAACAAGAAGAGGAAGAGATTGAAGAGGCACTACCGCCGCCAGCACGGTTGTACCCAACAGGAGCCAACACAAAACACGATCCTCGCGTCATTCCCAAACACCACTTCTATATGACCGGAAAGGGTGCGTCGCAAACAGCTACCAAGCAGAATCCTACGACCAATGCCAGCACTACCAAGAACCCGTACCTCACCATCAAAAAGCAGTTTCGACCTCAACCTCGAACCGATGACATCGAACCGCCCAGCGAAGCCACCTCCCAGGAAATCATTGAAGTACGCACGCCTAGGCAGACCTCAGCCACGCACTCACCCCCTAGCAGCCCCCCACTAGCTGCCAGAGGGCGAGACCAGTCACCGAGCAAAATACGACGCATTACCACACGCGGGCGTAAATGAAAGCCGCACGAAATAGGACTCCCCCAAAGACTACGCTGAAAATATTCCAAGCGAACGTGGACAAAGGCGAGGAAGCACACAGCGCCGCCCTTCAACTTGCATTCCAGGAAGGCTACAATATAGTACTAATACAGGAACCAAACACATCTTATAATGCACATAAAGACCTCTGCAGAACACAGCATCACCCAGGCTTCCTCTGTTTCAGCCCCGTCGACAGCTGGAATAATAATCTAACACGGCCACGAGTACTGACTTACGTGCGGATAGACAGGAAGATCCACGCTGAACAGCTCCTCCCAGCTCGTCACCGAGACCTTCTTTGGGTCCAAGTGAATGGAACCACAATCCTCAACATCTACAACAGACCAGAGGAAGAAACCTTACTGGACATTATTGAGTCATGGACTCCCCCAAACCGATGCGTGGTTGCAGGGGACATGAACGCCTTCCACCCATCGTGGCAGGCAGATCGGAGGGCATCGCAGGATGGCAGAAGGATCTTCAACTGGACGCAAGAACACGACCTAGTCCTTCTTAATGACCCAGAAACCTCAACCACAATGCCAAATTTAAACAAAAGATCTAGTACAATCGACCTGGTATTCTCCAACATCCCAACAGCCACCGCAACCGTAGAAGAGTACCTCACCACCGGCTCGCTGCATTACACAATCGGTACAGAGATCCCAGACAATGAGAGCAGCCCCAGGACCCCAGGAAAAGTCCATGTCAGTCTACCGGAGGAAATCAAGGCGTTTAGCAAACACGTGGCCAGCGCGGCCCTGTCACTACCATCGTTCATCCGCTCCAGACAAGATATTGATGATGCTGCTGGACAACTTCTACAAATCCTGCAAGACGCTGCAAAAGCTTGCGGCCGACTGAGTAAAGGAAAGAGAGCCCGACAGAATCCTTGGTGGAGTAAAGAGTGTAACGAAGCGCATGAGAGTCTCCGCGCTGCTCGATATACTACCGAAAGCCGACATGGAGAGGAAGTCCAACGCGCTAGGATCCACCTTAAGCGCACCGTCCGCCGCGCGAAACGAAACTTCTGGCGCACCATTGTTGCAGATATCACAGACCAAGCTGATATATTCCGGGTTACTCGCTGGATAAAGCCAAGGCAACAGCTACAACCTCCACCAATCCAACATGAAAACAAAGTCTATACAACGAACTTAGAGCGCGCCAACATCCTACGCAAGGAGAAGCTCGAAAGACGGGACGTGTCAGATGATATCCCAGATCCATGGATCCCCACAGCTTCACCAACCCAACAAATTCCCTTTTCGGCACACATCCCAATCAGCGAAGCCCAGGATGCACTACTCAGAACTGGGAACACCACACCTGGAATGGACGGTATTACAACGAAAATGCTCCAAGCAATCTGGCCAAGCATTTCACATGTCACCACACTCCTCTACAACGCTTGCCTCACCCTAGGATATCACCCAACTCCCTTCAAAACAGCAGAGGTAGCGATGATCCCAAAACTCAATAAGAGAGATCTCAGTGACATCTCTGCGTGGCGCCCCATCTCCCTCCTTTCCTGCCTGTCCAAAGGCCTGGAACGAGTAATTGGCCGCCGCCTTGCATACCTAGCCATCAGATACAAGGTCCTCCACCCTAACCAGGCTGGAGCACTCCCCAAAAGAAGCGCTACAGACATCGTCACCGCACTCCTCTACGATGTTGAACGTGCCTTAGGTAACGGCAAGATGGCCACACTTGTCACAATGGATGTCAAAGGGGCCTTCGATGCTATCCTCCCCAATAGGCTGATCCTACGACTCCGACAACAAGGATGGCCGGTTTTCCTGATTTGGTGGATCTACCACTTCGTCTCCCACCGTAAAGCTCTAGTCAGATTCCAGGATGCTAAAACAGAACCCGCAGAACTGCCCTGCGGCCTTCCTCAGGGCTCGCCTATATCGCCGATTCTCTATCTACTAGCCACCACCCCCATTTACTCTCTTCCAGGAGCAACAGAAAGATACGGCTACGCGGACGATACAGCGATGCTCTTTGTAGGGGACACTCTGGAGGAGACCACTGCAAAAGCAAACACGGCGATCACTGCAATGGAAACATGGGGGCAGCAAGAGGCTTTCTCCTTCGACCCAGACAAGACGGAGGTCATGCACTTCTCTAGGAAAAGGAACAGTAGCTCGCCACCGGTCTCCCACCAAGGCAAGGAGATTAAGGCCCAGAAGGCAATGCGTTGGCTAGGAGTCTGGCTCGACCGCAGGCTCACTTTCAACACGCACATCGAGAAATGGTCACTCAAGGCCGAAAAGGTTATTTCACAGTTGCGGTTCGTTAACAACACAGTCCGCGGGACATCAGCAGTAGCAGCTAGGAGAGCGATTTATGCCGTAGCCTTACCTACATTCTTCTATGGGCTAGACACATGGTTCCCCGGCTTCCTTTCCGAGTCAACACATAAGGGTGCAAGGACGATTACCAAAACCCATCTCTCAAAGCTTCAAGTAATCCTAAACAAGGCCTGCCACGCAGTCCTACCCGTTTGGAAGACCACCCCACAAGTCATCCTCTGGAAGGAGGCGGGTATACCGCCAGCAGACATCATACTCAAGCAACAACAAGCGCGCACTGCGCTCCGTTATGCCACACTAGATGTTGCGCACCCGGTATCCAGAAGGCTAAGACAAGCGCAGCATGAACTTGACCAGAGCAACCACCCAACAACACGCAGCCAGACCCTGCAGAGGCATAGCCGACTCCTCCGAACAGCGGCATGGGCGAAGGAGGTCGAACGACCAAGGCTTATAGCACGCCGCTTCAATGATAACATCCCGACCGAAGCTGGGGGCGAAAGACCACCTAAAGAAACCGCCGCTGTAGAATTCCAGCGCTGGCTTGAGGACAAACCCCCAGGCTATATCGTCTTCAGTGATGGCTCCAAGACAGAAAGAGATACCGCAGGGTATGGATACGCAGTATTCCACAACGGACGCCTCGCTGATTGGGGCTTTGGCCAGCTTGGCCGCAGAGAAGTCTTTGACGCAGAAATCCACGGCGCTCTCGAAGGCCTCCAACGCGCTGTACTCGCCAACTTCACCAACGAACCAATCACGGTCTGTATGGACAACACCTCTGTCATCGACTGCATCGGAGCAACAGCACCAAACTCCTCACAGGCCCAGTTCAGGGCCTTTCAGGAGATAGGAGACAAATATCCGTACCAGGTATCTGTTAAATGGTGCCCAGGGCATAGCAACATCTTCGGAAATGAGCTGGCAGACCTTCTAGCCAAACAAGGAGCCAATCTCCCAGTCCCAGAGCACCTTCCCTCAGTCTCCTACCGCAGGAGGCAGGTCAAGGGTCAGATAGCCGTAGACTACCAGCAATGGTGGCAAGGAGTAGAGAGAGCAGGTTACTCGTCGCTCGGCCTGACCGCCGAGCTACGGAAGCTCCCTGAACTCGCCCTCCCACGCCGTCTTTTGGGATATCTACTCGCTGCCCGATCACACCACGGCGACTTTGCGGACTACCACGAAAGATTTCACCCAGGTCAGGCGACCCTGGAGTGCGCCTGTGGGCGCCAAAAGTCGCCTACCCATCTCTTCTACTGCAGGAAAGTCCCTCACCATCTCCGGGCTCGGCTCGCACCCGACCCTGAAGCGGCGATAGGACGGTTCCTCGGTAGATCCTACAAGGTTTACCTGCGCATTGCGGACTTCTATTACACGAAGATCAACAAGCGCTACTAAACCGGGTAGGCCGTACAAGCCTGGCGCGCTCTGTACTAGTATCCAGCCCGAGTAGTCATCGCTACTCGTTAAACAACTCACCTTTCCTTTGTCGAGGCATATGCCACTGATATTAGGGCTCTCCCCGGTCCCCACGAAAAGACCAGGCGCAATTGACTGCGAGGGAATACGTCCGCGGATGGGAAACCCGAGCAAGCATCGTGATCCCGCTGACGGGTATCGATACTAGCAGTAAAGCAGCCGTTGGGCGAACACCTGCTATAGTCGGAGGAATTTACATAAAGAACCGCTCAAGGGGCTAACCGTGAGAGCATGGACGCGACGACTCCGTCGGTCGCGTTCTGCGGGGCTTACTAGCAAGTGGGGCTATGCAATCACTGTTGAAGACTAGCTAGCACGCCTCATGCCTACTCTAGGGCGCCGATAGGCGATACCAAATTCAATTCAATTCAATTCAATACTAA